CCGGGGACAGAAAGACAAATGGGCCCTGCCCTTAAAGTCTAATGGGGACACAACAAGCCATGTGGTAGTCAGAACTTGTGGGACTCATGTGCCACCAGACATGGAAGGAGTACCGCAGGAGCCTTGAGAAGAGAGGCCTGACGGTGGAGTAGGTGGCAGCACTGTTACAGAGGACGTCGGGCGTCTCTGTCTCCAGGAAAGATGGACGCTACACTGCACAGGGGAGAAGGGAGGAAAAGAGAAGCTGGGCAGAAGAGGCAGTGTCCACAGTGGCTCTGAGGAAAAAGGAAGCACTGTTTTTGAAAACGTCTGCTGTGAGAGGAGACAGCAGCAAGAACAGGACATCCTGGACAGCTCGGGACGGGGCTGGCTACCATGAACTCACAACTTCCCCATACTCCAGGGAGGTGAGACAGGCTGGAGTGTGAGTTAATAACAAACCACACCTACATAACAAAACCTCCGGGGAGGGGTTTGGAGAGCTTCTGGATCGGGGAGTGGACCCGTATTCCAGAGGGGCCGTATCTCACCTCCATAGCAACAGAAACCCGTGTTGGGGAACCTTGTGGATCTCACCCAATGTACCTCTTTGGCTGTTGGTTTGTATGCTTTATCATATTTTTTTAAAATAAACTTTTATGAAAAGAGATAAATTTAAAGGACAAATTTGGGAGGTGGAGACAGGAAGTTAAACAAGGATCAGATAAATGGGGGCCTCAGATGACAGGCCAAGGTGTTAGGATGTTACCCTGAGGGAGAACAGGCTTGCTGAAGGGGTTAAGCTATGGAGCATGTGGGAATGTGTGGAGGGCTGTGTGTGTGTGTGTGTGTGTGTGTGTGTGTGCGTGTGTGTGTGTGTGTGTGCGCGTGCGCGCACAGGTGCACAGGGCCACAAGTGGTGAGATCTGCTCTGTAGCAAGGTCCCTCTGTTTGCAGTGCAGACAGTGGATGGAAGGGATAGGAGAGGGGAGCGTGCAGCAAACACTGTGGCAGTGGGAAGAGAAGTGGCCTGGGCTGCGGGATCCTGAGTTGACAGGACTTGGTGATCAACTGGGCACGCGGTAAGGGAGAGGCAGCGTTTCAGCTGGCTCCAGGAGGACCAGAGGGCTTTCCCAGGGAAAGTCCCAGAAAACCAGGATAGCTGGTCACTCTAGGTGGGTCTCAAGTTTCTGGCTTGGGGAACCTTGAGGACAGGATGGAGATACCAGGAATGCCAGGGTGGGTTTGGTGGTACTGGAGAGGGATGCACTGAGTTGGAATGTCATATGGAATATCTTCGATAGTGATGGCATTCAGGCAGTTGCTATAAAGCTTGGGCTTTCTTTCTTTCTTTCTTTCTTTCTTTGAGATAGGGTCTTGCTATGTAGCTCAGGCTGGTTTTGAACTATGTAGTCTAGGCTGGCCTCAAACTCATGAAGATCCTCCTGCCTCAGCCTGTCGACTACTGGAACTATATGCATGCACCACTATGCCTGGCTTATGGGCCCTGAAGAGAGGTAAAAGCTTAACCATGAACTTAGGAGAGATGATCCTAAGCACAACATATGTTTACTCAATGGCCTTGGGGGCTTCCTAGGAGAGGATCATCCTTATGCTGCCCTTCTTGATGAAAACATCAGGGGCCACTGAGAAGTGTCCCAAGTGTGACTTTCCTTCTGGGTTTTCCACCCTTTCCTGCAGATTCAGATCCAAGGTAGATTGTCTGAGGTCTCTGAGAAGCCACTTACAGAGAAGGCCCAGGGAAAAAAATCTGGTACTGTAGAGCTGCACTAAGATTCTTGGATAAAGACCTCAAATCTGTCAACAGACATAGCCAACACTAATGTGAATAAACTCGCTTGCTTGGCAAATGGTAGGATTTTTTTCCCCTTTGTTACATGACTATATTTTGTTGTATTCATTTTCATCATAAAGCACTACAAAAATACACATTTTTTTCCAGCTTTAATTGAGTTAAAAATACACATTTTATGTCAACAGACTTATAAAAAACGCCACCCTGAATGAATAATGATTTTAGCTGGAAACACAGTAAAAAAACTTTGAGCTCATTCTAAAATTGCTTGTCTATGATCTAAGAGATTCTTAAGAAGATGGACTCAACTTTTCAGAAAGTGAGGCGGCTTGTATATGCAGTGGTACCTTGGTTCATTTGCAAACACCATATCTGGCAATGAACACGACTGCGGCCATCTTTCCTACGTAAACAGAACATGGCCATCTTTTCCAGAATCTTGGGATGAATTAAGTTTGTGAACTGAGGTACCACTGTGCATCATTATGTGCTACAATTTTATACAATGATGACCATTTTAAAAAAGAAAATAATTATTAAAAAGAAATATGTTTTTTAAAAAAGAAAAGAAGTATGTTTCCTATTGCTTTGTTAGGGGAGAACAGAATATGGAAACAGAGACTGAGGATTTATTTTAATGTAATATTTTCTTAGAGCAAATATGTCCATAAAGAAGTACACCTGGCAAACAAAAATGGTCTGAATAAGCATTACTGGCCTTCTCTGTATTTTATTGTCTTTGTAGATATAGTAAATCATCAATAAAACAGAAAGGGAACAACACTGACACACATTTACTCTCCCATTATTCAAATGGAATGGAACCTCCCCCCGCCAAGGCTTAAGAGGTAAATAGGTAATTCCTGGTTTTCTGGAAATTCTATTTCATCATGGCCTTGGTTTCAACTATCCTAGAGTAAAAATAAAAATCTTCTCTAGCTCAGGAACACAGGCAGCTTTTTATGAAAGTCTCTTCATTCCAATGTGAGTGCCACTAGGATGTGGAGGAAGATGTGAAATTTACCTCTTGCCAACTTATCAGTCCCTAGCAAATGTATTCAATGACCGTACTCCTGGGAAGGACGCTAAGCCATGCATGCTTCGGAAGGTATGTGGTCCGTGACCACTTACCAAGACCAAAAGTATGAACCAGGGCCAACGATCAGTCTATGGATCATGGAGAGTTACAAAGAACACAAATTCCAGATGGCAAGTTTTTCCTCTCTATAAGGATTTTCAAAAAAAAGTTGCCCCCAAGGCAATAGATGGAATTTTTTTTACCCTTTCATTTACACCTCCTGGGACTCTCCCCATCTTGCTCTCTTTCTTTTCTTTTCTCTCTTTTCTTTTCCTCCTTCCCTCCCTCCCTCTTTCTTTCAAGAAAGGTTCTTTTTGCTACGTTGCCCAGACTGGGCTTGAACTTGTGATCCTCCTGCGTCTGCCTCAAAGAGTGCTGATATTACAGGTACGTGACAGCATTCCTGGCATGGACCTTTGATCTTGAGCATAAAACCAGCCAAAAAAAATTTATATGTGTAGTCTTTAAGTAGTCTAATCCAGAAATTCAACCTTGTATTATTATTTTTAATTAGGGTGATTAGAAGGTTGGTACTCAGAAGTTTGGTGGTAGGTTTTCTTTTTCTTTAAATATCATTCCAACTAATTTTCACTGGGGCTTAGGTTAAATTAAAGCCTGATCTTTGGACTGTGTGCGCGATTCAACCTCCTTTGGTGCCCCAAACCTTTGAAATTAAGAAATTTTGCCCTACCTACTAGTGTTCATATTAGGTTTTCTGTGTATTCACAATGTAATGGTTAGATGAAAAAATCATATGAATAGAGGGTTTTGTTTTGTTTTGTTTGTACCAGGGATGGGAACTTGGGTCCTTATGCTTGCAAGGCAGGCAGCGGAACCACGAGCTAAATCCCCAGCTTAGAGGGCTTCTTTTGATTCTCAACGCACCATACAGCTTGCTTAACATCCAGAAACAATCACATCAAATAATTACTGGAGAATTTATAGTCACCCCCAGGGTAGCTTTCTTTAGCACACAAAGCTGAACATGATACTTCCACATCTGTTTCCCACCTTTCTGACTTTCTCTCTTACCCCTACAGATTGTCTCCTGAACCAAAGAAGAAGCCAGACAGCTCCCACCCAGCAAGCAACTGCTTCTTTAAGAGCCTGTAGAAACAGCTGCTAGGTGAACACTTGGAACAAACACATTTACCTTAAGAGGTGTTGCTCTGATATGACAATGTTGGGTATCATGGGTGAGACAACTGGAGACAAGAGGCTCACCCACCACCAGTCAGAAAATACATCTGCCGGTTGAGGATTTAGCTCAGTGGTGCCACACCTGCCTCACAAGCCCAAGGTCCTGGGTTCAATCCCTGGTACTGGGCAAAAGAAAACAAACCACATGTGCTTTGCCTTTAGGCAAGACCAACTTTGACCATCACTGGATATCACAGACCAGAGGTCTCTGTGAAGCTTGCAAGACTCACTGGAATTTAGCAGCATAATGCCACCATACCAGGAAAATATCACTGGTTTTGAACTGTTAAAAATAATAGCACAAGCTGGGCATGGTGGCACTTGTCTGTAATCCCAGCACTCTAGAAGCTGAGGCAGGAGGATCACCATGAGTTCAAGGCCAGCCTGAACTACATAGTAAGGCCCTGTCTCAAAAAAACAAAAAATAAATCGATAAAATAAAAGCAAATGCCTGGCTGCATGTTGGATGCCCTTCCTGTGTAATACTGAAGCTGGGATGTTTGTGCTATCAACTGCTACCAGGAATTCCTGGCATTGAAGTAGCAATTTCCCTGTGACAGCAGTGATGAAAAATTATGCAGTTCAAGTGCTTTATCTGGGCCTCATCTGACTCAGATAAGACCACAGAAGGCTTGGATTTTTCACATATTATCCTCTAACTTTCTCTTTATTTAAGTAGGATAAAGAGACTTGTTGAACTATTTTGCTGTTACGTGCTCTGATCATTTATCTTGATGAATTTGTTGACGTCTAACTGAAAAGTCATCATAGACATGTTTTCTAAACTGTAAAAGCAACTTCACACAGTTTCTTTTAAACATCGAGTCTGTAGCCTGCCTTGCAAGCCCAAGGACCCGAGTTCAATCCCCAGTACCAAAAAAAAACAAACAAAAGGAAACATCGGTCTGTAATCAAGGCAAACCTTACCCGTGGCAGGCAGTCACTTGACTGGCAGTCCATCTTCCCAGCTTTGGAGAAGCGGCCTTTGTCACTGCCCGTGGTCAGAGCAGCCTCTGCCTTCGGGAGTCCAGGCTCTGCCTCTTTGGCTGCTGCTGAGCTCTCTAGACTGGGTGCAGCCTCCTCCTGGAGAGAGGGGGGGCCGTTCTCCAGCTCCGAGCCGTGTCCGTTTCCGAGCTCCGGGTCGGTGCCGCCGTTCTCCAGCTCCGAGCCCGCATCCGCATCATTGGCCTCCTCGCAGCCAGCGCTGCTCGCCGGTTCCTCGGGAGCCTTGTGGGCCGGAGGTCTGGAGATGACTCCAAACTTTCTCGTTCTTTTTCCCTTCTTTGAGGTTTGGTCACCCAGCTCCAAGGTAGGTGTCTCTCCTGGTTCCGAGCTGTTGCTGCCATTGTAAGTCGAGTGGGCTTTGTGCTTGAAGCGCCGCAGCATTATCAGGTAGATGAAGCCTCCATTCCAGCACTGCTCAGCCAGGTAACTGCAACACACAGACAGGACCGCTTAGAGGGCAGCGCGTAGGCGCCAGGGACCGGGACAGCCAGGACCTAGGCTTCCCGGGGAGCAGGAACTGTGGAACTGCCGATGACTCCCCCAGTCAAACACACCCATGAGCCAGAAGTTACTAAATGAGGTCTCCTAAGTTCAAGAGTCAGAGAAGGGGTTTTTTTTTTCTTCTGGCTTCAGAGTCAATCCTAATACACCTTTGTTAATATATCATTAACAAATAAACAAGTTTTTGTTTATTTTTGCAGTGCTGAGGCCAGAACCCAGGGCCTCAGGCATGCTAGGCAAACACTGAGCTACACCCCCAGCCCCTAGCAAACATTCTTATAGGAAGACTAATTTCAAACTGTCTGTAGCACAGGAGGGTAACTGTGGTCGATAACACTTAATTTTATATTTCAAAATAGCTACCAAAGACGATTTTGAATGTGCCTGACACAAGGGAAGAACTGTCTGAGGTGATCTGGTCATTGCATTGTGTACCGTATTGAAATGTCACACCATACTCCATAAATACGTAGAATTATGTGTCAACTAACAGTAAAATAGTTTGTTTTTTTTTTGTTTTTGTACTAGGGATCGAACTCAGGACCTTGTGCTTGCGAGGCAGGTGCTGGAACCACTGAGCTAGATCCCTGGCCCACTGGTTTTTAAAAAGATGAAGGGCTTGGTTGGACCAAAAATTAAAAGAGTTCTCTACTCTTTCAATAATTTCTTCTGTCAAAATCATGCTGGACTCTCGTCTATATATTGCATTGCATTTCCCGCCTATATATTGCTGATGAGACAATAATACAAGTACCCAGGACAAAGAATGGATAAAATGGATTGGGGGACATGTAACGTTCTGTTATTAGGCCAAAAACATTTTTCAACTTTCTAATAGTGCTTCTGCCCCACATCAGTTAGTGACAAAAGGTACAGACTGAGTAGGAGCGGGGCTGACTGGTGTGAAGCTTAAAGAGGCCCAGAATGAGTTCAGGCTCATCTCTTGGTCATGGTCCTAGCTGGGCTGTTCACGACACCCATGGATGGTCCCTTGCAGGTAAGCCTCACATTAAGAAGAGCACTGAAAAATGGACATAGGAGACCAGGTAGGACAAAGAAGGCTGCTGGAAACTGGGTCAATTAGGAACATTTGGGGCAATCAGGGACACTCAGGATGGAGAAGACAGGGTCAGGGCCAGTTGCTTCTCTATGGATCTGAGGGAGGCGAATACTGAGAAGCAGGGAATAATACGGGATAATGCAGCACAGGAAGCGTGACACATGGTAACTGCTCCGGGGTTTAAAGGGTACCAAGAAAACAGAACATCAAATGAAACGATTAGCAGTATGCAGGATCCCAGGTCATTCAAGCTTCAGCAAAGAAAACACTGGGTCAAAGTCGGGAAACGAAGTTGGGCTGGACTCTCCATTTGCGCCATCTAAGATAAAGTAGCACAGATCCCCAAGGAACCCAGGGAAGTGCTTTCACCCCTGGAATCTTGCCACATCCTACACATCCCTGGTTCCCAAGGAGTGTCAACAACCAAACGCTTCATAAACTGATCCCGCTTCCGGTGTTCTTATGCCGACAAAGAGAAAGCCCAAGTGTGGCCAGGTGCTCTCCCTCTGGGCGCCATGCTGACTCAGAAGAAATGAGGACTGTAGGTAGAAATGGCCTTCTGGAATCTTTTTTTTTTCCCCCCTCATTGAGTTTATTGGTACATTTTAGGTATACAGTACAGTTATAGTCCTTCTGGGATCTTGTCACCAGGGAAAAGCAGATCTGAGGGCTGGGGCAGTCAGATGTGCTAAGGAGGCCAGGTTACCAAGTTCTCTCTCATCTCACCGTGAGCTTTCACTTAGGGAGCAGGCATGGGAGGGGAGAAGAGGTGACCAGCTGTGTTTGAAGCACGCTGGAAGCTGGCCTAAAGGCAAGTAGACCTCTTCCCTATGGATTAGAGCAATGTCAGTGCCCGTCTTATGAGAAAAAAGAATAATTCTCAATATTTGCCATGCAATAAAGTGAACAAGAGAGAAGGGACTCAAACATCAACCAAACCTAATAAAAACTTTCTTTGATCCTAGGCTATATATCATGGTGGTGAACTCATACACATAAAAACAAGTAGATTAAAAAAAGATACCATTCAGATCTCAGGCAATTCTGTGAAGTACAGCAGGAGGAAGAGGCATGAAAGACCATCTATTGAAGTCTGGAAAATAAAAATTAAACTTATTCTCAGCACAATTGTCCTAAAATGTTTAGATTTCACTTCTTTGAATTACGTATTTTTTCCAGACTGGAAAAGTTCTTGTAAAAGTATAAAATCTGAAAACTAGGCAGCTAGGTTGTAAGGGTTTCACTGAACAAATGACTTCAGGTTAAAATGTTACATGTGCTCAGATGTTACAAAAAACAGTGTAGGACAGTAAAAGGAGGACAAGGTGGAAAGTTAGTCATCCAAGTCCTCATTCTGGCTCTGGCCCAGCCACATAAAACAATGGCATTATACAAAATCTCCCTCAACTAATGGATGGATCAATTGTATCATATTTATATAAAAGAATATTACTTAGCAATAAAAAGGAATGCATTATATGCTACAACATGGGTAACACTTGGAAACACGATGCTAAGTGAGAAAAGCCAAACCACGAAAGGCTATATGTTATATAATCCCATTTATAGGCCATTTCCAGAACAGGGAAAATGCAGACACAAAGTGAATAGAGGTTTCCAGGAGTTACAGAAGGGAATTGGGACTGACTGCTGTAAAGGACTTGGGAGGAGGATGTGTGAAAAGACTGTTCTGGAATTAAGCAGTGGTAATGGTTATATAACAATATATAACTCTAACTCTCTCTCTCTCTCTGTCATATACATATATATATATATACTTATATGTACTAAAGCCAACTAAATTATACACCTTACAATGTTAAATTTTATGTTAGTCAGCTTTCCACTGTTGTAACAAGTATATAGCATAATCATCTTATGAAGAGAAGAGGTTTCATCTGGCTTATGGCTCCGGAGGTTTTCAGTTCATGACTGATTGGCTTGCCGTGCTTGTGCCTGTGGCGAGGCAGCATAACGCAGTGGCAGCACACAGCAAAACTGTTCACGTGATGGCTGCATGTGAAAGAGAAAAGAGAAAGAGGCTGGGGTCCCTGAGATGAGAACACCTTCCGCTAAGCTCCACCCCTTAAAGGCTCTACTATATTCCAAATAGTGCTTTTCACTTGTGAGCCTCTGTGGACACTTATCCAAGCCGTAGGATGAATCACATGTCTCAATTCTTTAAAAATAGTAAATATAATAATACTGGGAAAGTGCTAAGTTTATTCTTTGAGTAGGTGCTTTATAGACACTCATTCCCCAAGAAATGTCTTAGAAGAAACTGCAGTTAAAAAGTGATTATTAATTACCTTGTCAATTTACTATACCTACTACTACCTGGCAGACCTAATTCTGATTCCAAAGTCCACAGTGTATCTACTGTGCAATTCTGCTCTAAGTTATTCTCAACTCTGTGCCACAGCCTTGCATCTGCAAAGAGAAGATGTTAAAACGAGTCATTTTTGTACTGCATTCATGCTAATAACTGCAAATGCTGGTTTCCCAAGAAGAGTTCTGGGGGAAAAAAAGGACCAAGTTACCCCAGCACCAAGGACAGAATAGAATAAGAAACAGAACTATTCATTTTACATCTGAGTTATCTTAATTAAGTCTTCCTCTGCTTTGCATAAGCATTCCCCAATGGTCCATGTGTTAAAGATTTGGTCACCAACCCGTGGTGCTACTGGGAGATGTGGAAGGAAGCTAAGCCACTGGGGCTGTACCCTGGAAGAGGCATTGGGATCACCCCTCTCCTCTGTCCCTTTTGCTTCCCAAGCACCACAGAGTAAACAAGCTTCCTCTAGCATAAGCTCCTCTCTATTATGAGGTACCCTGCTGCTGCCACTGGCCCAAAGGCAGTGGAGACAAGAGACCATGGACTGAAATCTCCAAAACCGTGAGTCAAAATAAATCTTTCCTCCTTTTAAGTTTATTCACATCAAGTATCTACAGGGGTGGCAAGCTGACTAACACAGGCCTCCTGGATACTTATCATCAAATGAAAAAAGATTTCAACTAGAGAGCATTTAAAATTGCTTTTGGGAATCTACCTTTTATACTAAAAACTCTAAGCAATTTGATATGTTATATGCAGAGACCTTTTCTTCACTACCAAAAGTACTGGCTCCTTGACTTGGATCATGAGATCTTAAATATCTGTCCCGTATATAAGATATCTTTCCCATATCCTGTTCTCACGGGAGCTGCAAGAATCCTGAAAGGTACCTGCGACTGAGACAGCGTTTTTCTCCTATAGCGTCCATAGTTAGCAGCCTTACAAAGCCAAGAGTAATTTATAATTTACTTATTTATTTTTATATATTTTTTGGTACCGGGGATCGAACTTGGATCCTTATGCTTGTGAGGCAGGTGCCGGAACCACTGAGCTAAACCCCTGGCCCAAGAGGAATTTATATTTGGTTCAGTGCCATCTCCCTGTTCTCTCCTTGCTTCCGAGCAATAAATAAGACCCCGCCACCTCAAAGGAACTGTATGACAGGGTATTTTATCCTTTCCTGGACTCTGAGGATTGTCTAGATCATCCCAAAACAAAGGGTAATGAATGAATTATGGACACTATAGCCAGCCGGTGAAGAAGAGACATTTGGGGAGTGAATAATTTTTTTTGTTTTTAGAATTCTTTAAATCACCTTAAACCTAATGGCTCCAAACTCCATATTCACATGTATTTAAATGATTTGCCTAACTTTTCCAGCACTTTCTGGCTAATTCATACATTCAAGTCTCCTTTTTCTGTCTAGTAGGAATGTTATCCAGTATTAGAATCTTTATACTAAACTTAAAAGTCAGTAAGTCTCCACCTGTTTTTTGGTTGCTATGACAGAGTATCTGAGATTGAATAACTT